ACTAGAACTTTACAGTGGTAGATATGCATTAGAAATAGGATTTCGTAGCAAACAAGCAGTGTTATTACCCTATACTAGAACTTTACAGTGGTAGATATGCATTAGAAATAGGATTTCGTAGCAAACAAGCAGTGTTATTACCCTATACTAGAACTTTACAGTGGTAGATATGCATTAGAAATAGGATTGTAAAGTGGTAGATATGCATTATAAATAGGATTTCATAGCAAAAAAACAGTGTTATTACCCTATACTGGAACTTTACAATGGTAGATATGCATTAGAAATAGGTGTTACTACCTTATACTGGAACTTTACAGTGAAAAACAGAAAAAACACGAATATACTCAGATTCAACTGAAAAAGCATACCTCAATTAATATGAAAACCAAATCGAATATCACAAATTTCTAACCACAGCTCAAACAACAAATCCACAACCAAACCGAATATGAAATCAATCCAAATTATAAACAAAAAGAAACTAAAATCACAATTTAAAACTCAAACGAATATCTAAATACAAATTAGAACGAAATCATAAAATCCAATAGCTTGCCTCCAAATCGGCAATAACAAAAATAAACATATAAAATCAAGAAGAATTGGATCTACAATTGCATATACATAAACACCACAATCTAGGGTGTATTGATTAATTTCCAAAACTCCAAAATCTATCATAACCACATACATAAACAGCTAGAGCACGAAAAGTAGATGAAGTTTCATACCTCGATTGACGGAAACAACCGCCGAAGTCGCCGGAAATGACGTCGAAAAACTCGAAATCCACAGACCTTTCCGAGCTCGCAGCGGCGTCGTGAGTGGCTGATGTGGCTGGGCTTTAGCCCAGACTTGATCGTCGGCCCTGGCCGGTCCTTTTCTGACCAGTCTCACGGCTGGCTGTGGCCGGAGCACCAAGATCGCTGGAGAGAGACGGGAGCGAACGCAGAGAGACGAGAGCAAACAGAGAGAGATGAGAGAGAGAGCGCCCAAAATTTTTCAAATAAACTAATTTAATACTAAATGGGTAATAAAGGTATTTCATTTATCTAATTAAATTAAAAAAGGTAACAGCTGTCAGTTTTGGGTTTTTTTTGGGTGTGTTTATATATATTGAATGGTATAGGGTATATTTATAATTTTATGTCTAGGAATGGGTATTTCACTAAATTTCTATTTTTTTTATTCCAGATAATTTTATTTGCCTTCATACTTCTATTGTTGCCCATTACGGTATAAAGGTAACCCAGCCTACCTACGGCCATGTGGCATTCCCTAATTCGCTCGGCTCATAGTGATGGTATGAGCCATTAATAGTAGGCCCCTAACTCTCAACTCAAAGAGCTGATCTTGGGTGGGGAGTTTGTTCGGTGGTTGCTTTTTGAGTGAGCTGAGCCCTTTTTAAATGGAATGATTGGCACATGTCGGATTGGGTAGCCCCCAAGTCCCCAGCAGAGTAGGGTTCCTTGGGGAATATTGTGTGGTGCTAGGTTTTTGAAATTTGTTGTACTCGAGTGGGTGTGACATGGCCATAGTTGATTGGCTGAGTGGGGGTGTATTAAATGGCTTATGACATGAAACCTGACGGAGGGTCGCATCAAGGCGTACTCCGTCACTTCCTCTGATGACTACTGTAGTGCGGCCACGTCTGATCATCCTGGAGGGTTTAGCCGATGCGTGAACAGTTTAGATTTCGTGGTTGTCTTTGTATAAAAAACTCGAAGCAGCCAGTGGTTTGAACATTTCCTTTTTCACCATTAATCCCGTTCGAGAGCTTTTGAGCAGAGTTTGGCCACTGTTGCATAGAGGAGCTCGAGTTTCGAAGTTTGTGGTAAGTTCCTCTTCCTTCTTTCCTTCCTCTTCCCAAAATCCTTAGGCTTGAAGTTTTGAGTTGTCTCATTTTTTTTTTCTGGGTTTGGTCACGTGTGCTCGTCGATTTTTCTTATTTTGGTACACTTTGATTTGTGAACTTCGCCCCTTCCTCCCTTAGCAGTGTTTGAAGTGTCTTTTGGGAGCGGTGTAAAAAACATGTTGAGCTGATCAGACATATCTGGCTCACAAGATACTATGAGCAGTTGGTCGGCTTTTAGAGATGATGAGGGGGATACAGAGGTGCTGGATTAGATGTATGAGGCAGCTGAGCAGATGGGTGAGGGTATGCCCGTCAATCTCAATAGAAACTTTGAGTATCGGAGAGCCAGAGGAAAGGTAGAAAGTGAGGAAGTGAAGGATGACGATCAGAGTGGTGAAGGCAGTGAGCTGGGAGACCAGGGAGAAATAATAATCGCCGTAGCGGGCTCGGGTTATGAGAGAAGCGAGGGCATGGCGCGTGCCGACCAAAGCGCAGGAGGAGATAGACTCGAGGTTAGAGGTGTGGGCACGAGGGTAGCCTCAGGCTTGGGTGAGGTGACTGAGGCAATCGCAGGGACTGAGGTGGTAGATGGGGGATGGTCCGCGGATGAACATTCGAGCACCATGACGAAGCAAAAGCTAGATCAGCTGAGAGAGGAGTATGCTATACCGAGCAATATTAGACTTAGGGCGCCAACCGGAGATGAGAAGCCGAGCGCGCCTCCCCTAGGATGGGCGACTTTATGTGCAGACATGTTGAAGCAGGGGGTTAGGCTTGAATAAACATAAATTGTGGAAGATACTGGGCTTTGAAAGAGTACCATAAGCAATCACAACTGTTGCCTTTTGTCTTTGGGGTCTCTTGATTAAATTCAACGTTGTACTAAAAATTCCATTTTGTTTGGCTAGATTTGAAAAATAAATAAAATATGTAATTTAATACGAAAAGATGCGGACGAATAAAAAATTTACAAAAGGCCTCGATGCTATTAGTAGTGAACCTCCATTTTATGCGTATTGGTACACTAAACCAATGCATAGGGCCACCATTCACACTAATGCTTGCGTGTTTGTACCAAACCCTCGTAGGATTACCCTACCGGCACATTATGCAATGCTAGTACCAAATCCCGCATAGGTCTACTACTAGCACCGATATTATCCCCAACTTAGCCACCTAAATCCAATAGATTTCCTTTTGGTTATTATAGGTGTGGGTTTTTATCCTAAAGGCCTTGGTGCTATTATCAATGAAACCCCTATATTTAAGGTGTAGATTACTATTATACTTTCATAATGTGGGACTCTATAAAAAAGAAGGGCTAACATCATTTTACTCCCTCAAGATTTGGGGTCATTCTTGAAATGGGACACGCGGTTGTAATTTCGTCAATTTACGCCCTAATGTTTCAAAATTCGACCAATTTACACTTTCTGTCAATTTGACCATTTAGTCTTCTGTTAAGTCATTATGTGGCAAACGTGGGATCCACCTTTTTAGCTTAGATGTAATAAAATATGTAAAAAATAATATTAAAAAATCCTTTACTTTTTAAGTTAATTAAAAATATTAAAATCAATTATTTAAAACAAACAAAGAAAAAAAAAATCAACATTCCAACCCCCCAAGGTCGTCACCAACTCCACCACCAAACCCTCTCTTCTCTTTCAACCCAGACCACCTTACAACCATCGCTTGCAAACAACCCAAACCACCTCACAACCACTGCTTGCAAACAACCCAGACCACCTCACAACCACTGTCTACAAACCCCAGACCACCTCACAACCACTACCTACAAACAACCCACTTTTCCCGTTCCGCAACCCATCGCACCCCAGATCTGAAACCATCCCTGCCCCAGATTTGAAAACATCGCGGACGAAGTCGATGCAGAGCATGGCGAAGCAGAGCTGCATTGAGAATAAGAGTCGACGGCATAGGCGGTGTCGGAGATCTTGGAGTAGACAACAGCGAATTGGGAGCATATGAAGGTGGCTTCCATCGCGTTGTTGGGCCAGCAGCTAGGCCAGTTAGGTTGAGGAGTAGTCTAGGTATGGGAAGGTGGGGATGGGGGTTGGGGAAGATGAGACCGGGATTGAGGAATATGGGTGGGGGTGGGGTTTTCTGGGCTTGGTAAAATACAAAAAATCAAGATGAATTGGATAAAAGTTGAGATTTTCTATTTAAACCCCCCCACTTCTCTTTGTTCACCCCAATACTTAAATCATTATGCTGTAAGTTTTATTATTGTGTAAAAAGATAAAAGAAGGTCATCCAACTTAATAATTAACCGTAGTACATCTATACAGACACCCCACACACCCCACCACTTTTCATATTAAGTTTTAGAAAAATACAAACTCCTCTACATCCTATTGCCATATTACTCTTCTCTTTTAAAGACTTGGAACATTGATGAGCCTACCTCTTTAAATATGCGTGGGAGTTGATGGAAGGCTTGTTGATTGTCAACTCAACAATACCCAAGTGTTGGAATTCCAGTTACAATTCTTGGAGAGAGGTAAAGCTGTTCTCTTTCTCTAGAAAGCATTAAATTTTGGGTTTGGGGTTTCATTTGTTTGTGTTTTTTTTACTGAGAACAAAGAAAATTGTGGGGTTTAAATAGAAAATCTCTTTTCTTTTTCTTTTTTTTCCAGTTTGGGGTGTATTTAAGGGTAGTTTGGGAAGATAGTGGGGTTTTCTTAGAAATTGTAAAAATTTAAATTAAAAGATGGGGTGAACTTAGAACATAGGGTGAACTAAGAGAAGTGTGGGGTTTAAATAGAAAATCTCTTTGTCAATGTGTTGTTTCTGATCTTTGATATTATTAGTTACCTTAAATAGGTTTGATTAGTCATTCTACAGCGAGAGACTTACAAAGATGATAATAATTATTGTCATTGTGCTTAATCCCATGAAAGACTTTCAAATTGACAATTTTATCTTTAAAACTTTCAAGAAAGTTGGCAATAACAATAATCCACAAGATGAAGGAAAAAGTTGGGTCAGGTTCTAACCCGGAACCTCATGTTCAATTAAGTATAAAGGTTCAATATCATCATAATTTCCGGCAAATGAAAGAGGTATTCCACACCAAGTATCATCATATACTCCTGACTCTGGAAAAGAAAAAGGCAAGATGATGTCAAACGACTCGGGTCTTGTAAGGGTAAGATTTGGCTTTGACTTGGTACAGGGAGTACATGAGCATCTTATGTATGACTATGTTGTTGCAGAGACTATGTACATTAAAGAGCATGAGGAAGGATATCTTAAAACCAATACTAGAATTCCATCGACAGCTAAATCATTTCTAAATGCTTCAAGTGCACTCACGGCAATACCAATCAACCATCATGAACAGTCAAAGCTTGTGATAGCCAATGTTGGAAATTCTCGAGCTGTCATTTGCTGCAAAAATGCAGTGGCTAAACAGTCATCTGTTGATCACTTGCCGAGCAATGAAAATAAAAGGAAAAGAATTATGGCAAGAGGTAGTGTAGTAAGAAAAGGTCCTGAGGATGAAGCACTTGTTGAGGGGGTTTTTCCACTATCAAGGGCATTTGGTGGCAGCCCTTTTTGAGAAAGCAATTAGTTGTGAACCTGATGTGGTGGTGGAGATGATGATATCTGATGAATTGGAGTTTCTTGTGTTGGCAAGGCGTCCACTTTGGAATGTGAAGTCCAACCAGCACGCAACATGCCGGGCTTTGGTCACGATGACGATATTTCCTGTGTAGTTGTAAGATTTCGTTGACTAATGAATGCAAGGCATTTATGATATGTGATTGATGATGTTAAACATTTATATTGTTATCTTTTAACTCATACTATTATTTTGCCAAATTTATAAATTTTTATTTAGATATGGGCTAGTCATGAAACCCTGTAAATAGCTCAATATATATAAGTTGGTTGACACTAAAGTACTCTTTCCTCATTTTCTACTCGGGGTTTTACTATAGACTCATCTCTGCTAAAATTGTAGCAAAAAAACCCTTGCGTATTGAATGGGGGTTCAATTTGAATTTATTATTATTTTTCATGGTGTCTTGCCCATGACGGTAAATAATGAAAACAAATTAAAAGTTATTTATTTAAGGCATTGTTACTCTTAAATTTTTAATGCATGTAAGATATATATCAAATAAAATCATAACTCACATACATCAAATAAAAAAAATTGGTATTATAAGTATAATGCATGTAAGATATATATAATCTCTACCTAACCAAATGGTCAAAATGAAGGGTGGTTCCGTGCACAGGGCAGGTCGGGTGCCCGCCCAGCTCAAATAAAAAAAAACTACATATGGCTTGCGCTAGGTCCAGATCTAGCCTCAAATGAAAAAAAAAAACACTTTCTAATGCATGTGTTTGGCCCAATCCAGTTTAGCTTAAGGCAAGATAAGGGGCTGGTTTAGCCCAAGTGCTTACCTGGGCAAGAGTGGGCCTCACAGTAAGCTTTAGAGAAAAAGAAAAAAAGGTGCAGTTTTTCCAAATGCAATGGCTTATGAGGCTCTGCCACATGGTGCTCCAAAAGTTGCTTAATCAATATCAAATTATTGGGTTGTTATTTTTTTCCTTTTCTTTTTCTTTTCAGTTTGCAGCAGCTAGTTGCTTGCTGGACTGTTTTTATTTATTTTTTATTTTTTATTATTTTTTTCAGTTTGCAACGACTAGTTGCTTGATGGGCTTTTTATTTATTTTTATTTTTTTTTATAATTTTATATTATATATATACTCCAAACCTTTTTACTTGTTTATTATTTTTATATTTCTACATTCAAACCCTAATAAATAGACTTTCATCTTCATCTTTTTCTCATATAAACTTATCTCTATACTTCAAAATCCAACACTTGCATGTTTTTTCTTATCATTTCATAATGAAGAGATTGTTCAACAAGATGAACCAGGATCGTGAAGAAGATGATGAGAGTATACGTCAAAAAAAGGCTCTTACCCTTGGGACCATGGCAGAATTTCAAACCTCCTCCTCCAATCAACCCACCAAACCAGGTTCTCAAAACAGTTGGGAATACATCAACTGATATAGGGAAAACCATGACAAGATATGCTCATGAGGGATTATTTCGTGCCAAGCCGGTATGCTCATACACTTGGTTTCAAAGGCGTTACAAAATGATGCCTCACCTTTTCGACCACATATTTCATGATGTTGTTGGTCATGACAATTACTTCCAACAAAAGCCGGATGCCCTTGGCAAACTGGGTTTGTCACCCTATCAGAAGCTCATTGCGTCACTTAGAATGCTTGTTTATGGCTCATTTGCAGATCAGTGTGATGAGATCTATAGGATGGGGGCCCAAACAACAATAGAGTCTATGACATGATTTTGCAATGCAATTGAAGCCATCTACACGGTGGACTACCTCCCCTCTCCGACACTGGGGGACTTACATAGGCTTTTGAATAAAGCTCAACAACGGGGTTTTCCATGTATGTTGGGTATCATCAATTGTATGCATTAGAAGTGGAAAAACTGCCCAACAGGCTGGGCTGGAGCTTTTACTGGTCACAAAAAACCTTCACTATAATTCTAGAGGTCGTCGCCTCATTTGACAATTGGATCTGGCATGCCTATTTTGGAACCCCTGGGTCCCAAAATGATATTAATGTGCTCGAACAATCACTGGTGTTCAATGAACTCACGACACGTTGAGCACCTTAGGTGGTGTTGAGGCCCAAAAAAGTCACGGTTCGGCCCAAATAAATTCTCGGCCCAATGCAATACCTTACCGAGAAGAAACCCGATTTGGGCAGCCGAAAGTTCGTCATATGCGCTCGCACACATGCCACGCCAAGCAAATAAGCAACACGCCACGCTACACGCTTAAGTGGGCCCAAGCCACGCAAGATGCCTGGGGCTTGCTTGAGTGGGTTGTGGTATGGATGGTAATAAATCGGCATGAGGCCCATTGATGGGTCGAGAAATGGAAGTCCCGGGTTGCTTGGGAGCCTCGGAACTCAAGCCCATTTCTTAGGCCCAAACATGTGGGTGAGCATAAAGAGAAAATTATCCCAACCAAAATATCCTAACCAAAATAGCTATTGACTCAACCATAAAAAGCCCAATGCTTGAAAGAGATAGCCCACTTACTCAATAAATCAACTTGGCCCATACAATTACAATAGAAGAGCTGCAAAGCTCCAGCACTTGGCTGAAGCAAAAAGCCATGAAGGGAAGTCCACTATGCAAAGTTGCTGGAAAGTTCCAGCACATGGGAGCAACAAGTTTCAAGTAAAAACTCCCAAAAGACCCAAGGATCTTGGCGTGCAGACTGCTTGGAGGGAAATCACCCTTTGAACCAGCATGCATATCCATTTCTTTCCCTCATCAGACCTGGCCATAAAAAAAGGGAAGAAAGGAAAGGAAAGAGATGGCTGAAAATGGGAGTTCTGAGGCAGCTTCGGGAAAGGGCCTTGAGCTCCCCAAAATCCCTGATTTTGTGGGATTGGGCAGAGTGGATTTCACCAAAATAGGATGATTGAAGGGATGAGAGGAGAAAGGAAGGAAAAAGCTTGGCCAAATTACTTCACCACTAGCCACAACACACATCAAGAGAGCAAGCTTCCTCTCTTGCATGCAAAACCCAACAATTTCGTGCTCCATTCTCCCTTCTCTCCCATTCTCCCTCTTCTGGCAGACTGTTCTCACATTTGACAGAACCTCTGTCAAGCTGCCGGAAGAACACTTAAGACACCCATCCCTTTCTTTCCCTCCTTTTCCAACCAAACCTTTCTTCAAAATCCCTTTTCTTGATACCCATATTTCCCCAGGAACACTTAATTTTCTCTTCGGTGCTAAACTCATGTCGATTTTGCTCCCATGCCACCAGCTTCTCATGCCAAGCCAAGAATTTATCTGTAAGCAGCCA